ATTTTATTTATTTATTTATTTTATTTAATTTTATTAATATTATATTATGTTGTTATATTATATTTTTATATTTATCAAAAACGCATTTATTAAATGCGTTTCTATACAAAATGAATTTAAAATACTTTTTTCGATACAATACTGTTACAGAATCATTACGCATGCATGCCCTAATGCGCGCACGCACGCACGTACGCACACACACACGCGCGCGCGCGGTTTTTATTTTATTAAGAGAATACTTCATCTATATAGTTTACATGATATAACATCTCCAAAAAAATTTGATTTAATTTTTTAGTAAAATTTTAATTTTATTAACCTTTTGCTATACTTTTCTCTTACAAATTAAAAAAAAATTAAGCTTTATGAACGACGGCTCTCACTTGTGATACTCATATTTGGCCTGATCCTTACCACGAGTCTCACGCAATATTATAGGCGAAAGGGTTAATTATATTTTATGGGAAAGAGATCCAGCTAACCTAATCTAACCAGCAATTTCAACTTACTGAAGGCAGCCACATTCCTGATTGAAAATCGACGCATGCGCAATTGAGGACCACATAAAAAGTTTAGTGTCCATACTGTATGTACTTATGCTGTGTATGCTCTAAAACTGGTTCTACACTCCAATTTCGCGTTCGCGCCTTCTACACCATGAAACAGTAGCTCACACCAATTGACAGATTCACTACCATTGAAAGTATCCGCAAATGGCGGCTTTAAAAGGATTTAAAATCTGACCAATCAGGAATCGATGCCCCTCATGACTCTTACTAGAGGGACTTTAGAGTTTTGTGATTCGAAGCCTACCAAGCACCACTAATTCAGAAACCTCAGGTTTGTCGTGTCGCATGCTCCAAATGCTCAATACGCTCCAAACCTGAAGTACATTCGCGTCTGGAACCAATATGGCGACTAGATGTTCACGTCGCGTAAAGTCAGTTCTACATTAGTTGCAAACTGATCGTAAGTTTGTTGCGACAGCCAATCTGAAGCTTGCATTTTGAAATCGAGAGTCATATAATGTCTCATTTTAAAGATGACTGTAAATCGACTTTAAGTCACCATCATATAGACATTCTAGGATGTAGCGCGTATGCGCACCTTGCAATGGCGGAAATATTTAAATCGGGAAAATCTATCTCTAAGTTATGTTTTTCTTACGACTTTTCCTTTGGAACTGCATCCATTCAGTGTTTCAATAAGAATGTGTTCAAATTTGCATTGCCTTCGTGTAAGTATATATAATATATAATTTTAACAGTTATATATATAATTTTAACAATAATTTTACATATATAATTTTAACAAATATATATAATATATAATTTTTTATACTCTTATGGAAATACTATTACGCAGTCTCAAGGAAAAATACCATTAGAATACTATTATTTATAAAAATCAGTAAATTATTATTC